TATTTTCTCTGCAACGTTTTTTGGCATTTCAATGCTAGTAACACACCTTGCTGCGAACCTGAAAACAGCACTAGCAGGCGCGGCGAATTGTCTCTCAAAAACCATTGGTCTCGCAGAATTTCCCTTGAATTTCACGCGTCTCGCAGTCTCGTTTTTTAGCTGTTATGTGCGTCTCGCACTCTCGATCTTTTCACAAAGCTGTCTTGGAGTCTCGCTTTTTGCAAGGCTCTTTGAAGGTCTCAAAGTTCCGATTTTTTTGTTTGCTTAATGAACGTCTCGCGCTCGCATTTTAAATACTTTGAGGTCTCGGTCTAGCAATTTAAAAAAAAGTCGAAATGATTCGGGTTTGAACAACAAAAACGCTAGTTTTGCCTTTTCGCTAAGCTGCGCACTTACCATTTACCACCCCTAATAGCACACAGTGTATGGCACAAAAAAGAATGAGTTTGCCAAACGCTTATTGTGCCCCAGCTCCATTTGCCACCGTGTGAAAGGCATCTGCAAAGTGAGTTATAGTACGCTTATTTTGTGTGATTTCAGGCGACATATTATGAAGGAGAAAGGCTTCCCTTTGATCGAGAGTCTAATGTCTGATGAACATGACATGGTCAAGAGAGCCGCCACTGAATGCATGTGTAACATGGCGCTCTGTGAGTAGGTAACAATGCTGTTAGATTTCACTCGTTCTCTCGTCAACTGTGATACCGTAGACAAGCGCTTCGCTTTCAAAAGAGGAACACTTAAAAGCTGGTTGCTTTGATGTTCGAACAAATTCTATCTATTATCACTTCAAGAAATTTATAGAGGCCATTGAGGAGAACTTGAATGTTGACTATTCGGGCGCTACATGTTTGATCTACATGTTGTTATTCTCCCCTTGTCGTCAAACCATAGGTATTCAAAATGTACGAGAAAGAAGACGCCCCCACTGAACGAGTGAAGCTACTGACTCTACTGTCAGGCGAGGAGGACTTTGAGCTGTCGCGGTGAGATATTTTCATTTCTGGGCAATGTGTTTCATAAATATTTCCTCCTCTGGGAAAAATTATTTGGTGGGACTCTTCTGGTGAACTCCCGGTTAAAGGTGTAAACTTCACAAAGGCGGAATCATGGTGGT